GACCTGGCAGCTTTTCCGTGTCCCTTGCAGACTGTTTCCGATTTCTCCGTTAAAACTGTGGGCACGCACATGAACGGAGGCCATGTTCATATAATTGCATATCAAGACCGCCGGCAGGTGGGGGGTCTTGCCCTGCCAAAACTGACCGATCATTGCAGAAACATCTGGGCACTGCTAAGCTTTGCCCATCAGGCATTTTCCTCCCTCCTCCCCATCCTTAAGCTGGGCTATTTTTCCTGCTGGCAGCCTGGAATCTTTCTCCCTCCAACCTGTTTTTTTTTCCTTTTCTTCCTAAAATGGGCATATCATTTCTGAGTGTCTCATCGGTCTCACTCATCATCTTTGGACCCAAGCATTCCCGGTGCCTGACTCCTCGTGTGCAGAGTTGAAACTGCCTTAAATGTACAGTGCTCTCTCCCTTTTTTAACTTTTTTTTTTTTTGTCTTACCGGGTATTGAGATTTAATTTTATTTGTAAAGAGAAAGGGTGGTGATGCACAACGACACAACATTTGTGCTTCTTTGTTCTCCTTTTAATCCCCCCCCCTCTCACACACACACACAAACACTGCATGCGGTTAGAATCTGCTGTGGTGGGAGGGTTTTTGTGGTGTTTTTTTTTTGCTAATTCTAGCACTGGTAAATCGCTTGATGGTAGGCGTCAACACATACAGTCCCATCGTATTGCAGATGACCTAGAAATTTTCTAGGAAAAAGCATATTTTGAGTCTGGAGGGGGTCTGTTTTTTACCAAGAGACCCTCAAAGCTGTGGTGGGTGGCAGGGGAAATTCCGCCCTCCAGACACCCCTGGATTACAGCACCCAGCATGTCTCGCCATGAGCTGTGTAGGGAAGGAAGATGGGAGTTGTAGTTAATTAAAAAAAACTTCTGGCAGGCCACCCTTTGCATCTTGCTCCCTTATAAGGCATCGTTCCTCTTCCAATTGTTCTCTTGCTTGAGCCTTCCTGCTTTTGGGGGTCCCGATCATGCCAGAGAGAAAAGGAAAATAAATAAGCAGGCTCTCTGGTTACACTAAAATACAGCTTTAGTACTTTTACAAGACAACAGGGAAAGGCGATAGGAAGGTTTTATGGATCGTCGTTTTAAAAGGCAAGGCCGCACTTTCCCTGAGACTTGCAATTCTATACATAGCGTTGTGTGTGGATTTTATTTATTTTTTTAAAAAATTCTGAAAACACAGCACAAAAGGAAAAAAAAAAGGGAGGAGGAGGAGGGCAAAGGAAAAACTCAGGAATGCGTTCCGCTCCGTTTCCTGGTGGGGATGATGGCTGGGGAGAAGCTGCCAGCTGGAATGATGGGGGGGGGTGTCCCCAATCATAGCCCTCTGAAGATGATCCACATAAATGTTGTCGTGTGTGCACTTTTGTGTGGGTGCTTGTCGGTTCGTGGGATGGGCCTTTCGGGGACCATGGCGACGGTGTGTGGCTGCATTTCCCCGACCCGCCTGCAGAGGGGGCTAAAGCGACCGCTCTCAGCCCGGCTTCTCCATGGAGGGCCTTCGGGGAGGAGGTGGCGGCGGCCTCGCTTTCCCGTGATGCTCCGCGGCGCCGGGCCGGAAGCGGCTCCTCCTCGGGCGGCGCCTTAAAGCGGAAGCGCCGGACCGGGGCGGGGCAGTAGTTCCTTTGCGGGCCTCGCTTGACGCGCAGACCGGAGTCGCCGCCGCTGAGGAGGAGGAGGAGGAGGAGGAAGAGGAAGAGGAGGAAGGAGCCGCCGCCGACTCAGCCGCCACTGTCTCGCCGAGACCAGCCTCCGCACCA